CTCTCTTGCGCCGTTGTGCCACGTGTCCCAGCTTCATGGAGCGACAGGTGGCTGACGCTCGGGCACTCGCCGATCAGAAATGTGAAGAGGACGACGGGAGGCGGGCGGCGGAAGCTTAACGAGAAGTAGTGAGGAGGCAAGAGCTCCTGGACATGATGGCCCACGAGAGGGCAATGCGGGAAGATGAAAGGAAACACGACAGACAAGAGCGTGAAAGGGAGAGGGCGACTGCACGGGCAGAGCAAAAGGAAGATCGTGATCACCAAATCAGGATGATGCAACTCCAGGTAGACCTGGCGAAGGCGAAGGGCAACAATAACTAGCTAACTGGTTGGGGTTGCTGTTGCTGCAGTTGCTAGGGCATGCGTTCCATGTGTTTTTTTTTTTTTCAACAGCAGGCTCTTCAAAAAAATATCGTGGCGTCCGTTGCGCCTTGCGCGTTTATTTCGGGGGAGGCGTGCCTGTTCGGGGTAGGGAAAGTTGGGAATGGGTTTTCGCCCTTGCTGCTGCTGCAGTTGCTAGGGCATGCGTTGCATGTGTTTTTTTTTTTTCAACAGCAGGCTCTTCAAAAAAAAATCGTGGCATCCGTTGCGCCTTGCGCGTTTTTTTCGGGGGGGCTTGCCTGTTCGGGGTAGGGAAAATTGGGAATGGGTTTTCGCCCTTGCTGCTGCTGCAGTTGCTAGGGCATGCGTTCCATGTGTTTTTTTTTTTTTCAACAGCAGGCTCTTCAAAAGAATATCGTGGCATCCGTTGCGCCTTGCGCGTTTTTTTCGGGGGGGCTTGCCTGTTCGAGGTAGGGAAAAATGGGAATAGGTTTTCGCCCTTGCTGCTGCTGCAGTTGCTAGGGCATGCGTTCCATGTGTTTTTTTTTTTTTCAACAGCAGGCTCTTCAAAAGAATATCGTGGCATCCGTTGCGCCTTGCGCGTTTTTTTCGGGGGGGCTTGCCTGTTCGGGGTAGGGAAAAATGGGAATGGGTTTTCGCCCTTGCTGCTGCTGCAGTTGCTAGGGCATGCGTTCCATGTGTTTTTGTTTTTTTCAACAGCAGGCTCTTCAAAAAAATATCGTGGCGTCCGTTGCGCCTTGCGCGTTTTTTTCTGGGGGGCTTGTCTGTTCGGGGATGGGAAACATGGGAATAGGTTTTCGCCCTGGCTGCTGCTGCAGTTGCTAGGGCATGCGTTCCATGTGTTTTTGTTTTTTTCAACAGCAGGCTCTTCAAAAAAATATCGTGGCGTCCGTTGCGCCTTGCGCGTTTTTTGCTGGGGGGCTTGTCTGTTCGGGGCAGGGAAAAATGGGAAAAGGTTTTCGCCCTTGCTGCTGCTGCAGTTGCTAGGGCATGCGTTCCATGTGTTTTTGTTTTTTTCAACAGCAGGCTCTTCGAAAGAATATCGTGGCATCCGTTGCGCCTTGCGCGTTTTTTTTGGGGGAGGCTTGCCTGTTCGGGGGAGTAACAATTGAAAAATGAAACTGGCATCCAACAAGTGGCGTCTGTCTTTTGCGCAGTGCTTCACCCGCACGATACATTCCGTACTTCCCCTATGCATCCGCTCGCGTTTGCCCACATAATAAATGACCAGCAAGGAGGAGACGAATTTTTCGCACCAAACAATTTAACTCCCAGGAAGTTATAACCGTTAAAACCCTCCAAACCAACTGTCCCCAATAACCGCGGCATCCGATTGTTACGCAATGCTTATACACCCGTACGATATACATACACCGTCCGTGCTTGCCCTCTGCATCGCCCGCGTTTGCCCACCTAAACGACCAAGGAGAAAATATAATCTTGGCGCTGATCATTCGAAACTCACATTAAATTGGAAAGTCTATCGTGCGCGACTTGCTCACGCCAGCAAACGGCTGTTTGTCTTGGTTTACGCCTGGAACACCGAAGATGCCTAGAATTCTCACTCAACGTGGGTGCATCTTGCACTTACACCGCTACGTACTCCTCGAAAAAGGGTGGCACCACGCCGAAGTATTGCGAAATCTCGTTGCCCCCGTTCATGCATGAGTGCCAGTTAGAAAGCAGAGTGGCTACCCGGTACTGCTTGGCGACAGGGCTTGGCAAAAGTTTCTGCTGCGGCTTCATGTTCACAAAGGCCCACTTGCCGGTCATCTCTTTGAATCCCCACTCCACCGTTACGCGGCAGTGGCTCATACGCTTGTTGAAGTCGGCCATCTCTGGCGTTAGAGGGCCGACACTTGACGCGCTAAAAGGACAGACAAGGTGGTTGCTCAGTCCATACGCCGGATCTCCGTACAAACAGTACGGATGGCCTGTAGGGCTGTTTAGCATCGACAACTTCTCCATCAACCCAGACTGCGCTAGAATAAAGCTGTCATGGCGTGTCCCCGCCACNACTAGAATGAAGCTGTCATGACGTGTCCCCGCCACGGGGCCCCGCAGATCCACAAATAGCCCGTCTGGTGTAATTACCCCTTGAAACTTCATGGCGTGCTTCCTCTTGTGCCCATTGTAGAACATTCGCTGCCAGTACTTGGGCCTGCG